TTTCAATTGTTCTTGTTAAAAATTAATTTTTTCACTTTGAATGTATTTTACGGTTTCTTCTTCAGAAATTTTTTTTAAAGAGGTTCTTAGAAGATTTATTCTTTTTTTATTTTATTTTTTTAATCATTTTCACCGTTGATGTTTAGATGTTTCAGAGGTTTTTTTAATTGTTTTTGGTCCTTTTTTTCATGTTCTGTTGTTACTTTTTTTTCTTCCTATTTTTTGTTTCGGATATCTTTTCTTTTCTGATTTGTTTCAATGTTGTTTTTTGTGTCTTTTTAATATTGGTTGTGTTTTTCTGTTTTCAGAAAATTTTCCCTTTTTTTTTATTACTTTCGTTTCTCTATTATTTACATGCATTGTTACACCTTTTGTTAACTAATCATTACATCCGTTGATATTTCTGTGTTGATTTTGTTATTCGAGATTCACCAGCTTTTTTTTCTTCCGGTAATTTTATCGCGTTTTAAATCTGTGTAATAGGTTTGTTAATTATTTGTCCTCTTTATTATTGGATCAATTTTTCTGTAGTTTACATGCTTTCTTACACCTGTTCTTAATCAGTTATTTCACCTGCTGGTTTTTCTTTTTTAGTTTTGTTATCGGATAATAACCAGAAGTTTCCTCTTTGTGTATATAAACCCTATTCCGTTTTTTATTACCACCGTTTTTCTCATTGTTTTTCTTTTCGTTTTCTCACTGTTAACTTATATCTTCTGTTACTTTTTCTCTTTTCCCGTTGTTCATCAAAACTCGGACTTTCGTTGTTGTGCTCGGTCTGTTATATCGATTGCCTTTCTTCGTTTGAGGTATATGTATTATTCTATTCTTGAATATGTATGTTAACTGTTTTGAAGAAACTATCTTATTTATCGTTAATGTTTATGATAAACGCTGTTTTGAAAGAATTATCCTATTTATCATTAAAGTTTATGATATGATTTTGTAAGAATTATCCTATTTATCATTAAAGTTTATGATATGATTTTGTTTCTTTAGTATATGATCTGTTGATTTTATTAAGTTGTAATAATTATAATTGTATTGAATATGTTATTTTTATCTGTATGTAATTTTTTAATAATTAATTTAATAAAGTTATTTAAATAAATGCTATTTATTTTTAGGTTAGGTTTATAATAATTTAGTCTTATATTCTATGAAAAGTTTGTTCTTTATTATACTTTTTTTGTTCTTTACTGTTAATGCTTTATTTTTTTTTCTTATTCTAATTTTGTTTTGTATTATTTTTTATTCTAATTATTTTCTTTCTTATTCTAATCATGTTGTTTCTTATACCTTTCTTCAAGCTTTGTTTTTATGCTCTGCTTGCTTTATCTGTTTGCCTTCTTCGTTTTAGGTGGTATGTATTTTTCTTCGTTTGAGGTAATGATGTTGTGTTTTTCTTTTGTTGTTAACATGCATTAGATAACTGTTAGTTAGGTTTATTTCAAAAAAAATTTTATCATTTTTTTTGTTTTGTCAATTCTTTGTTCTCTATTAAAAATCAATTGGTTTCTGCTGATGATGATGTTTTTCCTCTTTATTGTTGCCTTGTATTGAGTAATTATTAATAGTTATTTAGCAAGTGTTGATGTTGCCCAAATTATTGAAGATTTGTCCTCATATCATTTGGTTTAGGGTGTTTTATGTTTTTTGAACAGTAACCAATCTTTTTGCTTCTTAGTTATAGGTGTTTTATTTCTCTTATTCTACTTTAAACTATTTCATCCTTTGTCCCATTTTTTTTCTAAGGTTTTTGTTCACTATATTTACTCTGGTGTTTGTTCTTTGGTGAGAAGTTTTGATCATTTTGTTGTGATTTAACTTTCAAAGTTTTCTTATTGCTTTTTTTTTTCTTTTGTCCTTGGTTTGTTATTACTTCATTGTTATTTAATTCAGTGTATTCATTTTTCCTGTCCAAATGTCTAAGTTTTGTTTTTTGTTTTTTCACATTTTTTTTCAATTGTTAACATTTTGTTTTTTTTTCTTCAGTTTCTTGGTCAGTCTTTTGGGTTTTCTTTTAGTCAGTCTTTTATTTTTCCTTTTGCTCATCTACAGTTATTATAATTTTTTTCTTTGTTATTTAGTATAAGTCTTTCAATAATTCAGCTGACAGCTAATGACAATGTTGAATCATATTTCAGTTACTTTTGATACATGTTGGTAGCACAAAAAGATGAATACCTGAGCGATTCCTTTTCTATGTTCTGATGTCTTTCTTTTTAACTTTTTATTTTGGTTTAATGAATACCTGAACCATTCTTTATTTTTTACTTTTTATTTTGGTTTTTGGTTTCAGTGTTATTCGCATAAATCCTGTAATAATATAGTTAATACTAAAGAGGATTGCTACATTTTGTTTTAGTTATTACTGATATATGCCATTAGTAATTCATGATAAATAACCGAATCAATTTATGTATATCTACTTACTTGATTTTCATCTTTATTTCTTCTATTTTATTTTTGATAAATTCTAATATTTTATATAGGTTTTTTATTTTTTATTTTTGTACAGCTTCACCAAATTTGTATTTTGTTACGGTGGATATGGTTGATTGTAAATTGTATATACATAATGTATGCTGTTTTTATACAATATTAAATAAAACAAAGATTGTTCATATCAATATTAGATAAAAAAAGAATATAATTAAAGATTTGGGTATAATGATGTTTTTGTATTACTAAGGAATGGACTCTATTCTACATGTGAAGATGAAGATATTGCGATTTAATATATACTGAGGACATTGGATACGAGACCATGGCATTACTGAAGTCAATATATGTATATATTGTAAATATTAAAGTAACTGTATTGTAAAGATTATTTATTGTTTTATTTATTTATTATGTTATGTTTTCTTTATTGATATTAAATTATAGTGCCTTTTCATTAATTGAAGTAGATTTCACGTTGCATTCAAATCTTTTTTGTTGAATAAAGAAAAAAGCCGCATTTCCGTACGATAGCTTGTTGAATTCTGCAAACGTTCGACATACACGAAAGTGAGATATTCGATAGAGATAAATTTCATGTGGTTCATTCGTTTTTTCGTTGAATATAAAATATGGCTTACCTTAATTTTTTTTTACAGAAATGTTATATAAAAGTGGGTATATCTAAATGATTTATAACTTGATTTGATGAACCGTTTTATAACTTTATTTAAAATTCTATCCATGTACATTTAAATAAGGGTTGTCTTTGTATTGTATCAATGTTTTAAAGCAATGTTGTCCTTTTAATTATTTTTAAAACAACATTGTCCAATTGATGTTAACATATCTAACATTCTAACTAATGTAGTTGATAAAATTAAAACATATCTGTAATAAAAGCCATTATCATATTTCTTATTAATTGTTTGTTAACGATTGAGCATCACTAATTTACTTATTATATTATTTTAGTACAATAGTGAAATTGAAAAAAAATAAATAGTCAATAAAATAAAGCATAATTGTTTTAAGGAAAGTTGTTTTGTATTTAGTAAATGAATCTATATGTGATAGTTACTGCTTAATAAAAACATATATGTAAAAAAAATACACATAATATACTTCTTAACATTTAAAAACTTCTACACTAATGACTTAATAATACTTTTTTATTATAGGTTGATTTCATAACTTAATATAATTTGATTTACTTAAAAATAAAAGATATAAAACTAAATATAATAATAAAGAATAAACTTTAAAAACAAAATTTAATTATTTTCAATAAAATTATTACCTTCAATACAGTTATTGACTTTTGTTTATTTTACATATAAACTTTTGAGAATTTAGTATTAAAGTAAAAAAAAATTTTAGGTTTTTTTCTGTTGTTCTTTCATATCATGTGTTTTTTTTTTAATAATGTCTATTTTGTTAATATTTTCAATAGTTGCTCTTTCTCCATTTAATATTCTCTTTTTTTACATTTAAATTGAAATATGATATTTCTATGATGATAATGTAGTATATTTTTTATGCCAACATTTTTTTACAAACTATGTAAATGTAACAATTCAAAAAATAATACTTAGATAAAAAGTAATTTCATAACTTAGGATAAATTACTAAATTTTATATGAATACAATATAGGTTTCGTCATAAAATTCTTTAATAATATATTACTTTATCTAAATATTCATGTAGACATTATGTAAAAAAATATATAAATATAAAACTGAACAAATTTAATATAATTTAAAAATAACAAATTCTAGTAATAAAAAGAGAATATTAATATAGTAAAAAAATATGTTACATTTATCAGTACCAGAACAAAAAAATACATTTTATAAATATACTAAAGAAGAGTTGGGGTTTACTGTGAAATGACGTTTTTGCCCTTCTTTCCCTCATCTTTCTTCCTTCCGTGCAGGGGCTGCTTGGTCTTTTACTGTACATAGTACAGTGTATTGCCCATTTTGCCCTTTCTCCCCCTTCACTTGGCAGGGGGCTTTTTGGTCATTTTGGTCCGCATAAATCCCTAGGCCTTCTAGCTTCTTCGATCACTCTAATCCCGCCGCCTCTCTGAGTCTCACTCAACCGGCCCTTTCACTCTCGCCTTCAATCTTTCTTTTTTGATCTTTTTTCTTCTTCTTTTTCTCTTCATCTCTTCATCGGATTCTTCTTCTTCTTCTTCTTCTTCTTCTTCTTCTTCTTCTTCATCTCGTCGTTTCTTCGTTAGATTCGGGAGAGATGCCTTCATTGTCTCGCCTCCTTCATTACATTTGGGCAGAAACCCTGCCTCATCTTCTTCCCAAGAAATTCAGCATAGCAATCAACATATTTCTTCCTTCATCTTCTTCATCTAAGATCGGAATCAACAGTGAGTTGTTATTCTTTTTAAACAAACTTCACTTTGGTTGTTGTTTTTTCTTCGTCGTTCCAACCTCCACTCCCTCTCAAAAAACCCAAACCACACAAATTTTTGATATTTTTCATTCTCAAAAAAATTTCTTTTGTTTTTTGATATATTTTATTCCCGAAAAATCTCATAAAAAATGTGTTCAATATTAGACGTTTTTGTGTTCAATATTATTGCTATGCAGGATTGGTAATGTGCTAATTGCAAAGTTATTACAAATGGATTTTTGAATCTGTATGGAATGTGAATTTCTGTCAACTGCACTTGAAAAGTTACATTTTTGACATATGAACGATATGCTAAGCGTGACGTGCTTCACATAGATGTTGATCTTTCTTGGTTATTGTTTGGCTAAAGAAGTATGGAACATGTAAAACATGTTGGATTGGGGTTGGTGATAGAACAAATTTAAAGTCAACTATAATGAATGGGCTTGATAACTATATTTCTCTTAAGAGAATTTTAAAATGATTCAATTTCTTCTCAACGCTTAGGAAAATCACCTACCGATTTTCAAGTCCTATGAGATGGACGTTATTATGCCCTTACATCTTTAACGATATACCGTTTGTAACGTTTTAAATGTGTTGGTTTAAGAATTCATCTTGGGGAAATTAAAATTTCCATTTCTGTGATTTATTCCTTTTCTAAAATCTTTGGACACAACATATTATTTTTACTGTTTGTATATGAGTGTAAATTCCCTCATAACATCGCTCATTTGATCAGGCAAGATATAGATAGTTTTGATGTGTATTTTTCACGGTTATGGTCTCTTTGAGTGAATATTACATTGTTACTGACATTTTATTTTAGTCACTTGCTCATCGCCATATACGATTTACTTTCTTCGACTTTAATTAGCGCACTAACTCAGAATATCGAATGAACAACCACGACTTTGACAAGCTGGCATCTTTTGGTCACATTTTGCTCTCTTCACGTTGCATTATGGATGAAATTGTTTGAACACAAGCCTTTTGATGCAAAAGCTGTCTTGGGATTTGGTATACTAAATGGAATATCCATCGGACTTCTGAATCTTGGCTTAGGTTTTAATTCTGTTGGTTTCTATCAGGTAATTTTGTTTTATTTATTCATTTCTCATCATTTTGCAACTCATATCCTGGGTCTCTATTTTTTGTTCTTTTTATCCAGGTATTGACTGGTTACTAATTTGGTTTTACTGTCCATGACATTATGCTGAACTGTAGCCGTAACTGACCATTGTTATGAGTACACATCTTTATGCATTTCTCGAAAACGACCTTTATTTCATGCTAATGCATATCTCTGTCTTTGGCGTTTCAGATGACAAAGCTAGCAATCATTCCATATACCATTCTTTTGGAGACATTATTCTTTAGAAAGCAGTTCAGGTGAGTGATATTACACTTCAACTCCTGGTGAGATACGTTTGCTGTGTTTCTCCACCTTTGTTTTTTTGTTTCTTATCTGTTTCAAGATGTCAACATATTTGTGATTTGCATAAAAAAAAAACACTTTTTTTTTTGTTTTGATCGAGTTGTTCTTATTAGGTTTTTGGGTTTTTGATCTGAAAATTCTTGATTTCGCTTTTTGCCTTTCTTTTTGAACGAAATTGGTGATAATCTTCTGATTTTTTTTTTCTTATTTTTTTTCCCTTTTGATGTTGCAAAAAGGACTCTTTTGCTTAGCGGAATTGCGGGTTCAATTGTATACCACTAGTCGCAGCCTAATATGAAAACAAGTGTTAAGATCATTCATGCTAGGTGAGTTTCTTTCATTTTATCGATTAATATTAATAATCAATCGATTTTTTTAACTTTTTATTTTATTTTTGGTAAGTGCGTTGGATCTTAATTTGAAAACAGAAATCTGGGCTCACACAAAGTCGTGTTGATAGTTTTGGATGGTTGTGTTGGAAAATGACTGGTAGCTATGCATTCATGAATTTGTTTGTCCTTATTATGAAGCTCACAGACCTCACAGTGCCTTTCCGAGCTCTTTTGCATCTCATTATGCTGTCTTTCAGATTAGGCTGAGTTTGTTTAGCAACAAAAAAACAAAAACTTCTTGAGATTTTCAACTCCTTTTAAGCACCAAAGCAGCAAGAATGTTTGATGGTTTGGAGGGAGTTTGTCGTATTTTATTCTGTTTCCAGTAAGGATTTATGTTATAAATGCCAAACCCCATGATAACAAGATGTGTCTCACCAATTCTGCAAAATGTCTTGAGCCAGTAAGGATTCATTTTTTCTCCCCCTACATTTCCTACTATAAGAAGCTCTGGGATTTTTAATGCTTTCCTTTTGTCTCCCTATTCTTTTTGCATTTTTGTAGAAATGATTCCCTCTGTAAATGTTCTTAGTCTGGTCTAATTTCTAGCTCGAAAATTGATTATGCGGCCGGTGATACTTCATCTTTAGAAGTAGGTACTTCTGGGCAGATCTCTTCAGTGAAACTATAAACTTGGGTTATGTGAATATGCAGAAAGGTTGTGAACATATTATTGCAAAAACCAAATGTATTTTCTTATCTTTTTTTTTTAACTTCTGCCTATAGCTTTTTAATGTTTGTTGCTGATATGGAATGTATTGGTTTGTTGTGGTGATATTAATGTCTGTTGTTTGTGTTTTATTATTTTTGTTCGTATATGGTTTTGTTATGTCATTAATAGATGCTATTTATATATACTGCTTACGAAAATTCTCTTTTGTTAACAAATGTTAGTGATCTATGTATATTTTCTTTTGTGCTTCATTAATAAATACTGCTGAGATATTAACTTTTTGTATTTTTGTTTCTTAGTGATATATATATATATACATATCTTTATTTTACATATTTTAGTTTTATTTAGTTTTTTTTATGTGGCGATGATGATTATAATCAATTTTGAAATGAGGAGATCGTATGAGGATCATATCCAAATGTTTCTTTTGCTAAGTCCATAGCTAAAAAACTGATCTTATCTAAATGTCTCTTTTGCTAAGCCCATAGCCAAAAAACTGATATTTTTGTTAGTTCATGGTTGTTGACCTTTGTTTTAATTCCTATTTGTAACCTGTTATATACCTCCTCAATGAACAATGATGCCTGTAGAGATGAGACAATATCCAACTTCATTATGCTACAATACTGTATTTGCATTTTCAAAAGATACAAAAAATATGTTTGCATTTCTTAAATGATAAGAAATATCATGGGAAAAGTTTTATGAGAATAATTTTCAGTAATTGATCCCTAAAACTTATTTATCTATGTTGTGTGTTTTCTTTTTTATTTACACTACATATAATTAAAGATTTTTAACTTTTTTAATTATTACTATTAATTTTTTTTAATTTGTATTTTGCAGTTAAGAAGAGCAAAATAAAAAAGACAAACAAAAACTATAATACATTGTAAGAAATTTTAAGTAGCATATTATATAAATATATCTATATGTATATATGTATAAATAAACAAATCTTATACTATAAAAAGTTTTAACTTTTTTTATAATATAACAGTATTTTTCGCGGCAATGGATTCTCAGCTAGTTAATATATAAAATAAATTATTACGTTTAAAATTATTAAACATGTTTCTTAAATCTTAGAATATTTATCTGTAACTAATATAATGTTTGCTCCGTCACTATTATTTTTTGTACTTTTTACAGATAGTAAAAATGAAAAGAAAATCTGATCAAATTTTTGATCATCAAAAAAGTTCGGAACGTGTTAAGAATAGGAAAACGTCAAAGATCGAACAACAACAGTCAGCAACAAAAAATGTAATGCCCATTTAGATTAAACATTTACAACTCTCTGCTGCTTCTGATAGTGGTCCCATCTGCTTAGAGTCCACATTTCAACATTCAAATACAACATCGGTTCAACAAAGTAAATTCTAAACCTTAATTTTTTTTAACTTTTAACATAAAAGTTATTAACTAATTTTATATTATTCGTGCAATTTGGAAAATAGGTGAATTTAATGAGTATGTTGATGTTGGAGATTGTAAATAGTGAATATTGTAGAGCATTATTTTGGAATAATGAACGCACACAAAAATATCCATATAAATATTCCTTATGTTCGAAATGGAAAAATTAAATTACCATTTAAAAGAAAAACACCATTAATTTTAGATGAATTATTAAATTATTATGGTGGAAGTTTAAGTACACATTTTAGGAAAAATATTAGAATGTATAATTCCATGTTTTCTTTTACATCATTCGAGTAAATATTGAATCAAATATTAATGAAACATTGGGTCCTTATATATTTAAAATTAGTGGTCAGATACATCATTTAATGAGATCTTTACTTACAGTTGATAATAATCCTCCAACATTTACACAATTATATATTTATAACACAGAAAACGAAATACATAATATATTGTTAGTTGTTACATCAACTAATATTTCAACTGATTTGAACACAGTTATTCCTATGAAATTAATAGCAATGTTAGATAAAATAAATGTGTTGGTTAAATTATTCAGAACTGTTAAAATTTTTTACAATGATGATAAAACACATTCAATGAAATTAAGATTAATAGGCAGATGGGAAGAAGATGCTACACAATATGATCTTCCAACTTCAACAGATATAAGAGCTTTAATTGTTGGAGATATTATTATATATGGTCAAATTGGAGAATTACAAAGAATTAATAAACTTCATCCATCTTATATGGCTTTATTGTTAGCGTTTATGCCCTTAGAAATAAATGTAACGATGTTTTTTAAGACATTTTGATTATGAATAAAAATTTATTTATTTCATATATATATGTATTGTCCTCTTTTTGTTCATGTTAGTTAAATGAATGATAAGCAAACTAAAAATTTGAGACTGTAATTCTAAATCTTTAGGTCATGCATGTAATGTGAAGAACATGCGGAAGACAGGAATCTAAAGATGATAGTCTAAATCATATGATCAACAATCGAGAGAATAAAGTTGGGCGCTTTATTCATGTTAAGATTGTTATGTTGTCTACTTCCTAACGGAGACGGCTTGTCTTGGTCATCAGAGGTGAGACTCCATGGGTAGAGACATTGATATAGTTTTTAATGGTGAAATCTATATTGGATCGGATTAAAATTGAATTATTTTAATTAATAATTCTGTTTGAGTAAAACAATTCACTTTTGATGAATTATATGTTGTCATCTTAATCCTGAGATAGATAATGAAACCGTATGCTTGACTTGTATCATTTGATGTACTAAAGGGAGACATCCTGACATTATAAAAAGGTACGCTTACCGGTACATTAGAAGTATGACTCGTGTATGCGTAGATTCATTATTCATAAATAATGGAATCCATAGCTCCTATAAAGAGTCAATGATATCCTCTTATGCATTATCAGTGGATTGAAAAATACGAGCACTCGGCCATTAGACTACTCTGTGTTATCTAATGGTTTACTGTTTGTAATGGTACGAATAGTTATTTTCTGATGGTGTGATAATGGAACATAAGATAAATGTAATCGGGAAGGTAAAACAGAACTTGACCTCAAGTCGATTATGGATATCCTATGTGGGTGATACACTAATATATTGAGTCATGGACGAGAGCTACTCATAGCTTTGTAAATACGTTATATAAATCGAGAGTGCAGCTCTAGGCTTTTAGTGGAGTAGCGCTAGAGTTTTATAATAATGAGACGGACCTGTTGATTTACAAGTAGCGTTGTGATTATAAGAGCTTGATTTATATATGTCCATTGGGTTCCTTTGCTAGCTCACATAATTTCCTGTAACTATACGGTGTATTTCCTACATATTGGTAACTTGTGTTATTTCCGTAAAAAAAGGGTTCAAAGTTAATAGGAGATTGGTTAATTAATTCATGAGTGATTTATCGGGTGAATTAATTGTTAGATTAATTCTAGATAAATTGGTTGAATTATTATTTTAAGAGTTGTTTAATATGGGAAGACTATTATATGACTATTTTGATCAGACATTTTCTCTATTGGGTTGCTTGAATCAAAACTGAGGCTCTGTGTAAGTTTTCCGTGTTGAAGAACTAGGAAAATAACTATTGTCAGTGCAGATAGGTCGACCGGATAAGTCGACTGGTTAGTGAAGACTGGTTGACCGGTCAGGTCAACCGATTTGTGAAGAACAGGTCGACTGGTGAGTTATAACGTCTCTGTTACCGGTCGACCGGTTGTAAGGTGTAGCGCGTGCTGACGTGGTGAAACTGACTCTGGATGCGATAAAAGCTTTGGGAAACCTAATTACTACGGAAGTATGACTTCCTAAATACTATAAATAGCCCAGTAAGTCACATTATGAGATAGATCACTTGAGAGACTTTTTGGAGGCTATTGACAAAAGATTCCTGAGAGGAAAAATTATTTAATTCTCAAGAACGATTTTTCCTTTGGCTCTCTTGTGGTTGGAAAGAGTTCAAGAATACCAAAAGGGGATTGAACGACGTGTGCCCACCCGTACGACGATTATTATTTATAAATTATCAATGATTTTTGATTATTTAATTTTTACCAGTTATGGTTCCTTAGAGTTTAGAATGGTTGTATAGGAATTTGTTCTTTACAATATAATTAGATATACAGCCTATTATCGCTGTTAGAGTTTATTTTATTTTCTTTAGTAGAAATTTTGTAAACCAGAAAACGGTATAGGAATTTTCATGTAAAATTAATGGAGGAGATTTATCATGGATCTTGAAGATGGATCTTGAAGATCGATCTTGAAGATGAAGGATGTAAATGTATCTAATTTTTCTTAGTTTATAAAATTGTTTTATGTTTTTGAATAAATTGAAAAACTCCTTTGATTTCTGTTTTTTCAGATTTTGGTGACAATTTTTTGAAATTGTCAAAAAACTGGAAAATTTGAAAATCTGGGTTACTGTTACACAGACGCCGGTCGACCACTATGGTCAGCCAGTTAGTGAAAGGCGGCCGGCCGGTTGAGAATAACTCCTCTGTCATCGGTCGACCGGACCTAACGTGGCATGCACGATTTTATAGTTTTTTGAGATTTTTTCAAAAAAACATGAAAAATAATTTTATGATAACCAGAATTTGATCGTGATGAAGAATTCAAGGACAACCGGGAAGATTCAAGATGAAGGATCGATATATATTTCGATTATTCTTAGTAATCTTTATTTTTTCTTTTCTCTAGGTTGAAACCATAATATTACGGTTATTATTATTATGCTTGTTGCCTAGCTTAATTGCTTTGTATGATTGCATATAATATGATTTGCTATAAATGTGATAACATGTCATGTAGAATAGGGAGTGCCACTCATTAAAATTGTTCATACATATTTTTAACATAAAACCTTGTTTTTCCAAAAGATTGAGTGGGTGAGGGTTTTTGAAGAATAGACCCATGGCCTCCATCATTGGTCCGCAGATAATACATGGTGATACCGACCCCTAGGAAGAGATTCATTATGTACCGGTGTGGATCTCCGAGAGGATAATTTATTTGAGCATATTTTATGGTTGTACACCCCTAGGTGACAATTATAAAATATGGATCAAATAGTTGAAACGATGGTTATACACTCAAGATTAATTTAATTATTAATCTCTCTTAGAAGCT